CGGCGGCCACTCCCAGTCACCAGTCTAGCTGCCGCATTCTGGATTAGTTGTTTGACGCTTTGTGTGGGCTGGGCTGTGGACAAAATGGACTAAAAATGAGTATTACATCCCCAGTTCCAGTGCCAATTGGCTCTGGTGCAACAAGTTCTCCAATTCCTAGTGCCCCTTCTGGGGTCCCTTCTGGTGTTGGCTGTGTATAGTTGTGACCTTCTCGCAGAGTGTTCTTTATTGGGAATTCCTCGACATGGGTGCTCCTGCTAGGTTACCGCATGCCATCTGATCAAAAGTAGTAACAGAAAGATGAAATTGGCGTTTTCTGAAAGCTTTCCCCTTTTTCTTTTTAATGAAGGTGAGTGGCCTGTGCTTGGAGGAAAACGTAGACAACGATCCCTGTAAATTTGCACTAACGTCAAGGGCAGGTGATGTTATGGAGACTTTTGTTTTGCATTCCACCAGTCCAGGAGTCCGCCAAATGTGGATCCACGAAATCAACCAAATCTTGGAAAACCAGCGTAATTTTCTAAATGGTAAAGTGAACTTCATTTCTACTTCCTACTAAAGTTTCAGAATTAATCTAATTCTCCAGACGGTTTCCTTGTGTCTTGCTATTTTAAAAGTCCCCCTCCATCACGGTTCCGTATTTTGAGTTCATTGACGGAGCTAATAATTTTGCATTCCTTGTGGAAGCTTTTTGTCAGAGGCTTTACAGTGGTGCCTCGCAAGACGAAATTAATTCGTTCCGCAAGTTTTTTCTTCTTGCGAGTTTTTCGTCTTGCGAAGCACGGTTTCCCATAGGAATGCATTGAAAATCAATGCGTTCCTATGGAAACCGCTTGCCAGGCTGGCGGTGCGGAGAAGGGCTTTTCTCCCCAGCGCAAGCCTTCAGGACAGGTACGGGAATAGAGGGGAAGGCGCGCAGCGCTTTTCCTCTGTTCCCGGGGCTTGCGGTGGGAGGAGGGTTTTTCCTCCCCACCGCTAACATTCAGAACAGCATTCTGAATGTTGGCGGTGGGAAGGAAAACCCTTCTCCCACCCCAAGTCTTCAGGACAGCCATCCGAAGGCTGGCGTGGGGAGAAGGTCTCTCCGCCCCCCCGCCAGGCTTCGTAGCATCCTTCAGAGGCTGCTGCCATAGTCACGCGTCACTTCTCCAGCTGGGAGAGGGTCGCGGGGCTATGGCTTCTTTAGCCCCGCACGCGCTCTCCCAGCTGGAGAGGAGACGGGCGCCTATGGAGGCTCCTGCCATAGGCACGCGTCACTTCTCCAGCCGGGAGAGGGTCGCGGGGGGCTGCTTTAGCCCCGCGCGCGCTCTCCCGGCTGGAGAGGTGACGCGCGCCTATGGAGGCTCCTGCCATAGGCGCGCGTCACCTGGGAGAGGGTCGCGGGGGGGCTGCTTTAGCCCCGCGCGCGCTCTCCCGGCTGGAGAGGTGACGGGCGCCTATGGAGGCTCCTGCCATAGGCGCGCGTCACCTCTCCAGCTGGGAGAGGGTCGCGGGGGGCTGCTTTACAGCCTTCCGAAGCCTGGCGGCGGGAGGAGGTCTCTCCGCCCCACCGCCAGCCTTCAGAGGAGGTCCGAGGACAGTGGGGAAGACGCGCTGCGCTTCCCCGCTGTCCCGGAGATTTCCCTATGGGCTTTCGTCTTGCGAAGGAAGCCCATAGGGAAATTCGGTTTGCGAAGCGCCTCCAAAACGGAAAACCCTTTCGTCTAGCGGGTTTTCCGTCTTGCGAGGCGTTCGTCTTGCGGGGCACCACTGTAGTTCCTTCCCAGTAACCTTCCATGCAGAATCACACTGAAGCTAAGTTTTTAAAAGCCAGATGTAATGGTTTGTCCTGTCATTTTGCTTACCTTGCTTGTTAATTATAATTATATTCGAGAGTGGATGTCCAGCTTCCTTTTTTTAAGAACTTCTGCTAAGTATCTTGTCCAGCCCTGACTTCCTCTTTTTAGCACAGATAACCTAAATAATGTTCCACAATTTATTCAGTTTAAAATACCTAGATACCATTGTCTGATTTACAGATACATATTTCAGATAATCCCATTTTTTCCATCCACCCAAAATTATTCACATGGTTGTTATAATCCCACTATTTCATATAAATAGATCATCAAAGCAAAAATAACAGATATGCTTTCACTTCGACATTCTTGGACAAAGAAGTTGTCCATAGTATGTCCATACTGTAATTCAGCAACTCACACAACGCAATGTTAATTTAATCACAGTTGTTTCATAAACAGTATTGTGTTCCTTTTCAAATACATCAGATTTTTTTGCTGCCATGAATATATTTGCTTTAAAGTTGCTTGGCTTTATCTGGGAATAATGGTGTGAGTACCGTATTTTCCGCACCATAGGACGCACCGGACAATAGGACGCACCTTGTTTTAGAGGGGGGAGAACAAGAAAAAAAAAATCTCTCCCTCTCTGCCCAGCGCCCCTTCAGCGAAGCGGCAGGAGTCACTGCGCAGAGAGGAGGAGAATTTCCCCCCTCTTGTTTTCCCCCTCTAAAACAAGATGCCGTTCAGACGCCTTCAGACGGCTACCTTGGAAGCCTGGAGAGCGAGAGGGGTCGGTGCGCACCGACCCCTCTCACTCTCCAGGCTTCAGGTTCCTTTCGACCTGCTCTTTGGGGCTGGCGGGAGGAAGCCCACCACCAGCCCCAAAGAGCAGGTCGGGGAGCAGCGCAAAGGCGCGCGGCTATAGAGGCTCCTGCCATAGCCGCATGTCACCTCTCCAGCCGGGAGAGGGTCGCGGGGGGCTTCTTTAGCCCCGCGCGCGCTCTCCCGGCTGGAGAGATGGCGTGCGGCTAAAGAGGCTCCTGCCATAGCTGCGTGTCACCTCTCCAGCCGGGAGAGGGTCGCGGGGCTATGCTGTCTTCGCTCCATAGGACGCACACACATTCCCCCTTCATTTTTGAAGGGGGAAAAGTGCGTCCTATGGTGCAAAAAATACGGTAATACCTGCCAAAAAACATGGTGATTGTGCAAAAGAAGATACAGTCAAACCTCGGTTGTCAAACGTAATCCATTCCAGAAGCCCGTTCGGCTTCCGAAATGTTCGAAAACCGAGGCACAGCTTTCAGTTGGTTGCAGGAGCTTCCTGCACTCAAGCAGAAGCTGCGCCAGACTTTTGGCTTCCTAAAAATGTTCAAAAACCAGAGCATTTACTTCCGGGTTTTTGACGTTCGGGAGCCGAAATGTTCCAAAACGGAGGCGTTCGGGAGCCAAGGTTTGACTGTACTGTTATTGGGGCAATTGAATTTGAGACCCTGTTTGACAACAGGCTTTGCATTGCCTTCCATTTTTGTGTGAACCCCTCTCGCTTTTCTCAGCCTTGACATCACCGATCGAGTACCAGAGGAACCACAGTGGTCCTGGTGGCGGCGGCGGCAGCAGCAATAGCAGTGGCCCTAGCACCTGCCCTGGAATCCCCAGCTCCAGCCGTAGCAGGCCTTCCCGGATCCCGCAGCCGGTCCGACACCATTCCCCAGTCCTGGTCTCCTCTGCAGCCTCAGTCCAAGCAGAGGCAGACAAGATGTCAGGTATGTCCATTCACAATTCCTCCCTGCCTCCCCACACCACCACCACCCTAGAGGCTGGCCTTAGCCAGGCAGGCAGGCACCCGGTACCAAACGCTCAGCAGAACGCTCCAGAGAGAGAACCCGAGAAGATCCCCAAGATGAAAGCGATGGAGAGCCCCCGGAAGGCATCGGGAAGCGCTTGCGGCTCGGCAGACGCGGATCAGAGGGAATGCCGCGGGAACTCGGAGGAGATCCGTTCGAGGAGCAGCGTGGGATCGCTGGCGCTGGGGAAACCGAGGCCCGGAGCCGTCTCGCCAATAAACTCTCCTCCCGCAATGACTTTCCCTTCTCCTTTTGGCAAGGAAGCCTTTCCTCCCAGCAGCCCCCTGCAGAAGGGCTCCTTTTGGAGCTCCATCCCAGCATCCCCTGTCAGCCGCCCCGGCTCCTTCACTTTTCCCGGGGACAGTGACTCCCTCCAGCGCCAGGTCCACCGCCACTCTTCACACAGCAAGGACACAGACCGCATGAGCACATGTTCCTCGACCAGCGAGCAGTCAGTACACTCCACCCAGAGTAATGGGGTAAGAGCTGGAGCGCTTCTATCCTGCGAGCTCCTCTAAAAACAAAAAAATCTTCCCATGCTCCTCCTCCCTTCCTGTGCGTTGCCATCATTCTCCGTACTAACTTCTGGCTCTCTGGTGCTGCACCGCTGCTCTGAAATAATAATAATCAGTCGCTCCCAGTCTTTCTATGCAAATCTCAGTAGAAACGTATGTCGCCTCTCTGTGTGTATACATAAGACATAAACTTGCAGTATGTATACAGACACGAAGAAAACCTTTCTAACTCTAAATGTGACTTCCACCTCTGCTGGGAGGGGGGAAAAATCTGCTAGTCTGGTTTCTACTAACTTGCTGTTGGCTTCTTCCCCCTCTAACACGAAGGCACAAATTAACATTCTGTGTACAGCTGCCCTGGTGGAGCTCAGTTCGCGCCTCACCTGTGTTTCCATAGGCAGGTTTGCTTAGGGATTCCCCTCCCGTTCACATACATGCATACAATTCACACCCCGTGCCACCCCAGTGAGACTTTGAAGAAAACTAATAAAAAAAATTTGAAAAAAAAGAGAGACTTTGAAGAAAATATGAATCGCCCCGCTGGATCAAAGCAAAGATCCATTCTGTTCCCAACATTGGCCAGCCAAATGAACCCAAGATACCCACATGGCAGTACATGAATTCAACACGCCACTCCTCTCCCCTGAACTCTCCGACATCCAGTATTCAGAGAACATGGAGGTTCTGTTAGGCAGCGCTTCCTGTGTTTCGGTTGAGCTGAAGCATTCTGTTGACTTGCTGTCTTTTAAAAATCCGTACCTGGTCAAGGAATCTTCCAGCATCACAAAAATTAATCCTGATAAATACACTTAGTGCACACAGATAGAAGGCTACCGTGATCAAACCTCCAAGCTAAATACCTTCTGTTCTCTAAGAAGCGCTGCACTGGGGCCACCTGGAGATTTCGTTTTTCAGCCCACTCTGCGAGGAAAGATCAGGTTGTCGGCCAGCAGACCTCGGCTCCTTTTCTTTAAAGCTGCCAATCTGGAAATGCAACATGGCAGTCAAAGGACACCTATTGTTATTTTCAGAATAATCATTCTTCAGGGGGGGATGCAATAGTTGCATCCTCAAACTCGATGCTGGTCTTAAAGCCACACTCTTTTAACCCCACCCCCACCCCAATTTAAGTGTGTGGTACACTTCTTCAGCTCCTTTCACAGCTTCCGCACAACCTCGATCGCACATCACTTGGCCTTCAGAACCTTTCTTGAAAGCATGCACTACTTGGTTGAATTTTTTTTAACAATGTAGACCTCTTCTGATTTCCTCTTTCACTCACTGTATTGTAGCTGTAGGGTAAGAAATTCCGCTTTGCATGTTTGTTCTGTTTCTGAGCTCCTGTTATATTTATTTGATTTGGCTTTGGCATACCTCCTTAAATTGTTTTCTTAGCTTAGGGAAATGTCAGCTTGGCAGCCAGTGTGAAAAAAAGGTTGTTCACTGTAAGGGATGGGGCTGTTCAAGGTAGTATTTCTACGTGTTCTTAATATGCTGCATGGGGTGTGTGTGTGTGTGTGTGTGTGTGTGTGTGTGTGTGTGTGAAAATGCCATTTCTCCATATGGAGAAAATGTGCTGCAGAGGCAGATAGCTTCATACTAGGAACTAGCTGTCTTGGGTTCGAGAGTGTAACTATGCATCAGGCAAATTGTCAGAAGTGGCTTAAATTTAAAGCAAAACAAATCTTTTAAGAGGACTCGGCAGTTATTTGAAGGGAGATTGCCTTAATTTTTTAAAAAAATGCTTCTTAGACTCTTACACATAGGGGAAATAATAATTGTCCCTCCACCACCCATTCACTAAAGGTGGATACGGTTCATTTCGCCAGCAAACAGGAACATTTGAAATAGGAATCACACCATTAATGGAAACACCACCTTCCCCTTTAGGCTTAGCAGTATATTTCTTCCCCAATTAACTTTCCTTTTCCAGATATTGTATTGGGATAAAGGAACGACATACTTCCCTGTATCAGTGGCTGAAAACATCTTGTCCCCAAGTCATTTTTGCAGAATCTGGGGATTTGTTAAATTACTGCCAATCTCTGATTTCAGCCAAATAAAAAAATGTAGGTTTTTTTTAAATAGTTCAGGCATCTGGTGTGCTTGAGCCCAGAATGGGTACTATCCAGTGCTTTCTGGACAGAATGAATTTAGCAGCCCTGGGATGGGCAGGGCATGCAGCTTACGAACTCTAGAAAAGGCAATGTAAGGTGACTTAGTGAGCCATTTCTGATAAAGTGATCCCACTAAACCATAGCTTATCACACCAGAAGGTAGTGTCAGTCCCACACCACTTGTTACTCACCAGCTTTAACTTGGCTATTTTAAATTGCAATTCCCTGTTGCATCTGAAATGGGGAACTGAGATTTAATGTTGGTTTACTAACCAGTATCTTAAGCTGCTGTTGGTTGCTGCTTTTAAGCTCCTGATGAGTAAACAGGCTGGTGCTTGTTTGTTTAATGGAAGGTTTACAGAGATTTTCTTAAGCCCAAACGTGCATCCTTTCCTGTCCTTAAGAAAGGAGGCTAAATGATTAGTGCATGAACATAAAAATAGCAGGTTCACACTTAATGATGGGATATTAAGAACATAAGCCCTCCTCCAACTACTGGTCAGTTTAATTTACTTGCTCTGTTTATTAGATAACAGCTCTTTGGGGTCTATCTAGATTCTGAAAAATCTCAGTACTCATATGGTTCGTTTAATACAAGCTTTTTGAAATGACTATTCTTAGGAGCTAATGTCATGGAAGAGAGGCATTCTCTCCCCCTTCTCCCCGGTATTTTTGTAAACTGTCTCCTTTTTCCTCCTTGTTTTCCTCTCTTTACCTGATTGGTTCACCGACAGAGTGAAAGTAGCAGCAGTAGCAATATCTCCACCATGCTGGTGACACACGATTATACGGCAGTGAAGGAGGATGAGATTAATGTCTACCAAGGAGAAGTCGTGCAAATTCTAGCCAGCAACCAACAGAACATGTTTTTGGTGTTCCGAGCCGCCACTGACCAGTGCCCCGCAGCCGAGGGCTGGATCCCCGGCTATGTCCTGGGGCATACCAGTGCAGTCACCATTGAGAACCCCGATGGAACAATGAAGTAAGTGTGTTGGGTGCTCCTTTTAAGGTGGACATTTTTGGTAAGATTGTTAGTTTGCCACGCACCCCAGAGGAGTGGCTGTGTTGGTCTGTTGCAGCAGGAAAACAGACACGTGATAGATCTGGCTGGCTGTCATGGACTGGTTGGACACAAAGGAATGCTGGGAGGAACCAGCTGAGGAACCTCCAAGGGAAGGAGGCTCAGAGCCTGGAGATTGGTGGTAGGACAACAGTGAGAAGACTGGGAAGATGAGATGTTAAAAGCTGAAGAGGTAACAGGGCTTAGTGAGCAGGGAGAAAGAAGTACAGAATCAATGGCAGAAGCAGGGAAGAGCAGGAGGCAGAGATGGATCAGGCCATCCATAGCTGTCAACTTAGATTTGAAAATAAGGGACCAGCAGCCTCGAAAATAAGGGACAAGCAGCCAAAATAAGGGATTTTGGCTTGGCTTATGCATAAGTCCGCCACTGATGGAGCTATGCTGCTTTGGCTGCAACTGACTGTGTTTTGCAGGGGGTTGAACTAGATGATCCTAAGGGTCTACAACTCCAACCAAAGAAGAGTGGCAGACAAAACTGATGAACGACGTCAAGATGGCAAAGCCTACAGGCAGAATTAGAAACCAGGAAGAGGACCTCTTTAATAAAGAATGGGGAAAGTTTATAATTTAGTTGAAAAGCTATTGTAAAGAGTTACATACATTGGTAGGATTGACAGAAAACTTGTAGTAAAAATGTGAACTATGGATGGACAAATGATTTATAAAAATAGAGTTATGAAAGGGATGCAGAGGGGGAAATCACTACATTAAGATGCTGCACTGGTTGGAGGGTATGCTAAGCAGCACGTCAGGGCTGCCGTCATCCTGGCGTGAGGAGTTCCATCGGCCCTTCCGCGCCCGAGGGGGGGGAGGGAAAGAGACTCTCACCCACGCCACCTGCGAGCCGCGGCAGCCACTGAAGCACCACCCTTCTCCCCATCCCCTCCTCTTCCTCCTCCCTCAGGCCGCCTCCTCCCCTGCCACTGCCGCCTCCGGCTTCCCCTGGCAGCGTGGCAGAAGTCTCGCAAGAGAGGGGCTGCCTGCCTGCCCACCGCCACCCATCTCCTCACGACACGCCCCGGAGGGGGGAAAGGGAGAGGCGTAGACGCGGAAGCTCGTGTATGCGCTCTCTGGCACGGCGGAGGACCCCGAGCCGCTGCTTCCCTCCCAAGTCGGGCTAACATGAAACCCGGGGAATTTAAGGGACAGCAGCGGGACACGGTGCTGGGATAAGGGAGTTTCCCGCCAAATAAGGGGCGGTTGACAGCTATGGTCAGGCCTGTGAAGAGTCACAGGTGTTTCCCCCCCCCCTTTTTTTTCTTTAGTGGAAAGGTAAGTCTGAGGCCTAGTTTTCACTGAGGTGAAGAATCTGGAGTGGTTGAAGCTAGACGCAGATGGGAGCCTACATAACAGAGCGCTTTCTCATGCAAAAATAAATTGATCTTTCCACAAAGAAAACATACATGTGAAAGAGGAAGCTGAGCTTGAATTTCCCCCCCTGATATATAGTTTTCTATGGGAGAAAACATTTTTGTATGGATGGAAAAAAATAACTGAGCCCTGCAGTCCGAAAGGGTGCAGCCTAGACACAGGTTTACAAATGCAGCAAGAACTAGGCTCAAACTAGTTGTTCCTGTAAAATTGAAGACAGAATTCATACTCTTTGGGTCAAGGCCACCAGAAGAACCATGTCGTTTCATCAGTCATTTGTTCGTATACTCACTGTTTGGTGGATTATCCGTCAGATATTCCTCCTGCTGCATGTTCGAATGTTTTCCAAGGCAAGGGTCCAGCTAATCACAATGCTGTTGTGTTCTGGCTTCAGGAAGTCGTCATCTTGGCACACAGCACTCCGTCTAAGGAAGAAATCTGAGAAAAAAGATAAAGACAGCAAAAGGGAAGGCAAGCTGGAAAATGGTTACCGTAAATCTCGAGATGGACTTGCCAATAAGGTTTCCGTGAAGGTAACCTTTCTTCCTCGTGTTGTGTTCTTAGTCGTTCTTAGCCTATACAGTACAACAAGTATCTCACTTTAACAATACTTTTTTTACTTGAATACATTTGCACCAGTGTTCTTTTCTACCTTTCATTACTACAGATACGAAGTGCTAAAGACCTGTTTTCATGTTGTGTTTTAGGGCAACTGCATATAATTTAGATTTGAGTATCCCTGGTCAGGCTAACCTACATACTGGAGAGTAAATCCCATTAAACTCAGTCTTATTAGGATTGCTCTGTAAATGTGATACCATTTAAAGGGGGGGGATAGCAGCTAGCAGGATTCTTGCAGAAATATGGTGGGTTGGACATCTGTATTTCAAAAACTGTCGTTAACATGCAACTAGAGCCGTGATTGAAAACTTCACATGGGGATAGGTAGTAGGAGTGAAGGTTTAAGATTGGAACTGGGGTCAGGAGAAGGAACTCTCTGATGTAGGTATTCTCAGGTAAAGGGTGAAAGCCTGGGTTCACTATAGCAGTGTATTTTTTTATGTTGGGAGGGAAGAATGGAGGAAAGTTTTCATGAGGGGAAAAAGATGGCTGGACTCAGGAAAGGAGTAGGGGCAACAGCTTTTAAGAAAACCATTAACAACCAATAAAAGTTTTGCAGCCTAAACAAGAACAGTAGACACCTTGTAGTAGCTTTGTTGTAGTTTAGTTGTGTCCGACTCTTCGAGACCCCATGGACCAGAGCACGCCAGGCACTCCTGTCTTCCACTGCCTCCCGCAGTTTGGTCAGACTCATGTTTGTGGCTTCGAGAACACTGTCCAACCATCTCGTCCTCTGCCGTCCCCTTCTCCTTGTGCCCTCCATCTTTCCCAACATCAGGGTCTTTTCCAGGGAGTCTTCGCTTCTCATGAGGTGGCCAAAGTATTGGAGCCTCAGCTTCACGATCTGTCCTTCCAGTGAGCACTCAGGGCTGATTTCCTTCAGAATGGATAGGTTTGATCTTCTTGCAGTCCATGGGACTCTCAAGAGTCTCCTCCAGCACCATAATTCATAATTGTAGTAGCTACGTCTGTGCATTGCTAAGGACCTCATGTTGGAAAATGATAGGTGTACATTGTCTTATGGTTAAATTCAGCAGCTTGCCGGGCGAAACAATCCCCACCCCACCCCCATCCTGCTCATGTGCTGTTCTGGGGTTTCTCCTGCCCCCATCTGTCCCTGAGCCAATTTCAAGGGACACAGTGGCAAGGGAGGGAGAAGCCCCATTGTGTAAGCCAGAGACATCTTTGCACAAGGTTTCGACCGATGGGGCTCGTTCAGTGCATTCTGCATACTGAATGGCTCCCCGCTTTTAACAACAAACCCCTTACTTCCTTATGGAACAGCAAAATGCACAAAGAGACTGCAGATGGAACAGATAAAGCTCGGTCAGCTTTGTTCAGGGAGTTATATTACAGAGAAGATTACTCACTTTCATTTTTTCTGGAGTGCATGAGTCAACTTTCAGAACACACAGGTTGAGCTCACAGGAAGCAACCGTTTGCTCAGAGAACAACAAATGCTCTTGACCTGTTAGCAGTTTTAAGGCAGAAGTGCACATGCCCTATGTTGGCCAAACCGCCTTTAACATCATTCCGCAGTTCAGAAGTTAAAAGAAGCATCTTTTCTGAGTCCTAATTAATCCTTTCAGAAGCAGTAGTAGCAACCGTTTCCTCAGTGTATTGACAGTAATTTTACTACCATGAGTTAGGATATTAGATTATGTAAGAAGAGATAAATCATCTCTTTCCAGCAGAATTTTGTTTATCCGATGCAACATCCATAATAGACCACAGGGGCATTACAGAAGCCTCCAAAAGTTTACAAAGCTTTAATATAAAATAAATCCCTTTCCCATGACTTCCTACAATAAATCCAGATCCATACTTCTACACCTCATTTGAACATTTTCAGTACCCCCAAAAAGGGCAGTTCTCAGGTCAGATATATTATCAATATCATATATATATTAGCAAGACAAACTGTTATATAAATATCACTTCCATACAGCTCTAACAGAACAATAGATAGAATTGTTACTCACTTATAAGTGGGGGGGGGGAGCATTTCTGAACCATTGTAGGTGAGAATACTTTGGGCTAGACTTGTAGCGAATAAAATTCTCTCTGTATAACATCATCATGTACAGTGGTACCTCTGGTTATGAACTTAATTCGTTCCGGAGGTCCCTTCTTAACCTGAAAGTGTTCTCAACCTGAGGTACCACTTTAGCTAATGGGACCTCCCAGTGCTGCTGCGCCGCTGGCGCACAATTTCTGTTCTCATCCTGAGGTAAAGTTCTTAACCCGAGGTACTATTTCCGGGTTAGCGGAGTCTGTAACCCAAAGTGTTTGTAACCCGAGGTACCACTGTAATATCATAGAGCCATCATACTGGCACCATGGTTGGGTGATGTCACAGATGATATTTGGTCACAATAGATCCACCAGGATTCTGAGCACTCCACAATTCCTGTGCTGAATGAAAAGGGAGTGTAAAAAGATTTTCATCCTGCCTGAATTGTACCTGGAGATTGGATCTGCAGAGGAGCAGGGGGCATTGTAATCTGGTATGTCTTTAGAGACCCAGAAAAGGGAATATTTCTTGGTGGCATGGGGAGGAAAAGGTACCCAGCCAGCAATGTACTGCTTTATCTTTTCAGGAAACATTTTGGCATAAAAACCTCACTGCTGGTCTCTAAATGTCCCATTTTAGGGAATGTAGTGGAAAAAGCTTTGTTGGTAGAAGTGCATAGAAAATACCACCTTGTAATAATGGGAGTAAGGAGGAATAATGGCAATATGAAAAAAGGGAATGCGTATTAAAGGTATAATTATGGATGACTGTCAGAGACGCTGAAGGAAGTTCAAAACAGGCATAATTTGTTGTATTCGGGATAAAATGTATAACTGGATGAAAATCAATAAAATTTATTAAGAGAGGGGGGGGAAAGAAAAAAGAAAAAAAAGGAAAATACCACCTTGTCTGTTGATCATGATATGTTAAGTACACCTGGCTATGCTGATGATTGTTGACCTTACAACATCATTGAGCACCAACTCCACACAGTCTATGTCAACAGTTGACAGATGTTAAGACTTCAGTTTTTAACCTTATTGTCCTTAAGAAATGTCTGGAGACTTTCAAAATGCTAACATTTTTCAACTTCCCTTTCCAGCTTCTCAACCCCAACTACATTTATGATGGTAAGTTGTGTTTAAGTTCACTTGCCACTAGCATGAAAATACATTTTTTCATTACAAAGGCAGAGGAAGTCTAAAATGCATTTAAAATGTGGCTGGTGAGCCTGCTAAGCCAGCAGAAGGAAATATCTATGAGGCTACAAAACGTCTGGGGAGTCGTAGATACAATCCCTCTTCAGTCATTTTCTACATACCATAATGGCTAAACCAGTGGGCATCAGAAATGGGCCTTGGTGCTGATCAGTAGTCAGTGATGGGTGAGCCACCTGATCTGACTAAAGTCTTTTCAGTTTAAATATAGAGATGTATTTTATCAGAGAGGCAATAGCAGAGATACAGTTTCTCCAATATCTTGGTTAAGTCATGAGAAACATTGCGTTGTCACAGGAAAAGAGGAGTGGCTGCATTTGAGAAATAACATTTTCCCCTAGCAGAATGTGAGACACAGTGCACTAATTGTCCACGTCCCCCTTGACTAGGCAGGACCAACATGACAAGCTTTTTCATCACTTCCTCCTCTCCTCCCTCTACTTTCAGTTAATTTCCATGTCAGAGCCAGACAGAGAAAACTGTTACGAGACAGCCTATAGAACCAGAACAATAAAGAGAAATAGAAACAAATAACATAAGATCTAAGGGTTCGTTCCTAATCTCTATATAGGTCACACACATCCTAATGCGCCTTAAGGCATATGCTGCCCTATATTTCTACCAGACTTAAACTGTACTGGCACTAACCGTATCACAGAGTTAACATGCAAACTGCATGTATGTAGGTGACAGAGAAGATGTATGAATTAACTCTTTAATGGCAATTGTTTCCTTCCCTTCCCAGTTCCCCCAGAATTCATAATACCATTAAGTGAGACAACATGTGAGATAGGAGAGACTGTCATTCTGAAATGCAAAGTCTGTGGTCGTCCCAAAGCTTCAGTAACTTGGAAAGGTCCTGAACATAACACACTGAGCAGTGACAGTCATTACAGCATCTCATACAGGTACGTGTGGCTTCTTCATTTGCATGCTTTATACTGTGTCAAAAAGGGGGATTTGTGAGATAGTTGGCAAGAAAGCATAAAGAATATTTTGAAGGGACTAGATGATTGTGACTGTAAATACCAATTGAGTGTTTATAAATCTCACATGTTTACAAATTTACAATATTTTGCAGTGACTTGGGAGAAGCATCTCTGAAAATCATTGGTGTGACCACAGAAGATGATGGTATTTATACCTGTGTAGCTGCAAACGATATGGGTTCAGTTTCATCTTCAGCCAGTCTACGAGTTTTAGGTGGGTCTGTCTCTGTGGCAAGGAGGCACAGAATAAAGATAGCAATGCATTTGCATGTTAAATGCTCAATGTAGATTATTTTTCCACTTTTCAGGTCCTGGAAGTGATGGGGTCATAGTAACCTGGAAAGATAACTTTGATTCCCTGTACAGTGAAGTGGCTGAGCTTGGCAGGTATGATTCAGCCTACTTATATAACCATAAATATTTTTGGAGAGGAATGATTTCTGTGTTGAGATGTGCATTCAGCTGTCCTAGCATACATTCAAGGACCCTGATAATGCAGAAATCAAGTGCTTTCTTAGAAAAGAGTTTGCATGGCAAGAGTAAACTCAGTAATG